TTGGGCCAGTCACAGCTTCCCGGCCTGGCTTACCTCACAGGGTTGTTGGGAGGATAGAAGTGGGCAAGGAAGATGGGCAGAGCTTCTGGCATCATGCACATCTCCCTGGAGGAAACGGCGGGCTCTCACTTTGCATTCCCGTGATTATAAACATTTTTAAAATAAGCTGGATGCCGAGATTAGCACTATCAGTGGATCCTAAGACTGCAATGCCAGGACTGAGGCGTTTAGGGAAGGGGAGGCTGGACTGACCCCGAGGTGCATCCCTAGCCACCCCACTGTTTGGAGAAGCTGCTTCGTATTTATATTCCTCCTAGGAGCTCCGAGAGAGGGAAAACATCCCCACTCCCACTCCGGTTTTATCTTCACAACGACCCTGCGGGGTGGGCCAGGCACAGGGCGAGCTCTCACGGCCGAGCGGGAGCTGGCACGCAGGTCACTGCCGTCTGCAGCGTGCTCTGCCGCCTCGGGGGGAGTTCTCCGCGTGGGGGGGAGCCGGGGCTGCTGCTTACCTTTCGCGGAGGCTGACCATGGTCGGTTCAAGCGGCTGGTCCTCCCCGAGGGGGGCACAGGTGCCCCACGGCAGCAGCCCCACCAGGAACGCGGTCAGGAGCGGCAGGTACATCGTGGCGGCGCGAGGACCGTGTCCCGGGCCAAGGAGAAGGGTGCGGGTGCCGCGGCCGGGTGGGCGAGCTTCTGGCAGGCTGGGCCGGCTGGGGGGGAAGCAGCAGGAGGCCTGTGAGAAACCACTTTTATCTGCCTCTCCCCCACCGCTGCGCTGACCTTGGCATTTCTCACGGCGGCCTCACGTCTCCCCCCACGGCAGTCTGCTGGCAAGGGAGCATCAGCTTTGGGATGCCGAAGCCGACCCGCCTTTGGGAAGCGTCCAGGAGTAACCCGGCCCCGGAGGGCCGTGCTTTCGAATTCCCGGGGCTCGGTTCCGAGAGCCAGGGCGGTGGGTGTTTGGAGTGCCACCCCCAAATTCGGCTGTGATGCTCCCGGGGTGATTTTGGGGCAGCCCTGCTTCTTAGCCTCACCTCCCTCGCAGGGTTGTTGCGAGGACAAAATGGAGAGGAGGAAGACCATGGGACCTGCTTTGGGCGGCTTGCAGGAGATAAATGATGGTATATAAATTAAAGGGAGGGTGGAAAGGAGTTTCTAAGCATAAGCAGAGAGCTTGACCAAGAATCAGCATGGAGTGACTGCTTTTGGAGCTCTTCCCCACTGAAATGGGGCCTGCCAGGGGGAGCCTCCCATGGAATCCTGTGGCATTTCAAATACTAATTCATGTTACGTCTGCCTGGAAATTCAGGAGGCAAGTTTTGACTAAAACGGTGATCCCACGCAGTGAGAAATAAAGCCCTGCCGAGTTAGATGGGGTTTATTCCAAGGAACACGTGCAAAACATTGCAGCTTGAAGAAGCTTTCCTACACCACTTGAAGCAGGAAAATGGCCAGACTCTCTCCAGGCTCTGCATGATGGGCCTTCTTCTCCTGTCTCGACCCGACACAGGAGGAAGCTTTAAATGAATGGCGATTTTGAGGCTCGTTTTGGGGGGCAGGGCCCTGGAGGATGCCGTGAGGCAGAGCAAGGCCTTGCTGGGGAAGCTCTGCTGCTCAAGGGTGGCTGAGCCACTGGCGAAACAAGAGCGGAAATGAGGAGAGCGGGAAATTCTCACACAATGGCACACGTGCCGGAAGGGAGACGCACAACTACCGATCCCTTTCTGGTCAAGAGCTTTTGTTCTTGCTTGCCAGAACTGATGCGTTGCTGGAAGGCAGGTCTGCTTCTGAGGCTGGGAAGGGCATTGCCCTTGCTCGGCGGTGGGGACAAGGCACTCTGCATATTGCCAGAGGTACTCTTTCCTGACTGCTTGGCATGTGCCGGAATGGCACGCTGCTGGGATGGACCCAGCTCTGAGCTCCAGTGAGGAGGGGGAAGGAAGAAGCAGCAGGGGAAGGCAAAGTCAACTGGGGGGAAAGGGACACCCCTCCACAGGTGGACAAAAAGGTGACCAGTCCCAGGTAAGGGCAAGATGCCAGGGAACAGCGAAGGAGCACGGCTTGGCTGGTGCACACCTGCTTTTGATGCAGAAGGTTTGGATCTGGAAGCTGCAAGAAACCCCCTCGGTATACCAGAGCACCCTACAGCTCCGGGGTGGGGAAGTAATTCCAGCGACCCCTCCTCCAGCGCCTGATGTCCTCTGCACCCTATACTTCTGCAAGCCACGGTGGCCAGCTGTGAATTGCCACAGATTCACAGAACCGAAAGGGAAGTCCAGAGGGGACGTGTTCATTTGTACGCAGAGGTAGGACTTCAGAAATAATGAATATTGATTAGAAAAGCAGCGTGTCTCTCCACAGTGGGAACGGGTGCAGTCAGCAGACGGCGTGTCTTGTCTTGGCTGCTGTCTGGTGAAAATGGAAGGCCCAGCTCTCCCGTCTGATGGGGACTTCTCTCTGTACTGGCCTCGGACTGGTCACACCAGGGCATTGTGGGTCATTTACACTGGCAGTCCGGACTTCTCCAACTTGCAGCCCTCCAGAAGAGCTAGAGCACAACCCCCATCTTCCCCTGCCAGCACCCTGACCCTGTCCGCAATGAAGAAACCATGATGCTCTAGGGCACTGCAGCCCCAAGCACCAGATGGCAGGAGATAGCAGGATACGGGGCCAGACAGAGACTTGGCCCCATCCAGGGGAGGATGCTATTAAACAGACATGGAAGAAAGCCCTGCCTTGTTTCCCTCGGGCCGCTTGGGCTGCGGAGGAGACTGGCACAAAGCTTTCTCCTTAATGCCCTCCTCAGCCTGGACATTCTTGGGGAACAGAAGACTCCTTGTCCTGAAGTTATAAATAGCTCCGCAGGTTGGCTGGGAGTGTATGAAAAGCCGGGCGGGGCAGGGGGGCGCAAGAGAACAGACAGCATTGCTGAGATTAGCTGTTTGCAAACACGAAGGCTTTGCACCTGCTTCCAAGGTCTTGGCATCCAAGTGCGGGGGGGGGGGGGGGGGTGCTTGTCCCCTTTGTAGTTCCATCCAAGCCCCTTCTCCGAACTGGAAGAGGCCTCCTCCTTCCCTGGCAGGCTCCAGGTGCCAGACAAGGTGCCTCCACAGCCCCCCCCCAACGAGCCCACCTTTCATCGCCGTGCTCCCCAGCTGCCCTGGCTCCCCATCTTCCCCCTGATAGTGGGCGGCCCCTTGCGTCCTCGAAAGGCAGAGAGAAGGCTGGCCCCGATCTCAGCGGCACTTTCTCCTTGCCGCCACCGTGGCTTGGGCCAGGACAAGGGACAAGCCCGCGGCAGGTTTCTCCAGGCCGCTGGCCAGAGCCAGGCTGAGCCTTTCTGGACGTGTGACCAGACTCCCAGCACTCGCTGCTCCCAGACTTAATGCGGAGTAGATCTGTTATTTGCGCATGGAGAACTTTAGTGGTGCAGCGGGAAGGAGGGACTGGCGTTCAGGTGCAGCTAGCTCCGTGTGGCCACCTGTCGAAACGAGCAGTGGCTTGGACTGATCAAAATTCACAAGGAACAAATCAGTGGGAAAAAGCAGTCACTTTGCAGTTACTTCCCCAAGACAAAGATGGGAAGGGGAAGGGGAGGGAAGTCACCAGCAAGAAGCAGATGCTGAGAATGATTCTTGGCTTGTTGTCTAGTCTGTTTTATCCACTGTCTAAAAATAGGTAGGGAGAGAAAAAGAAAGCCCCTTTCTCCTCAAAAGCTACCAGGTTGCCAAACGGGGGAGAAAGGAAAAGGCGGGAGAGAGGGGCTCGAGAGACAGAGGGCCGGAGTGTTTCCTGCGAGCCCTTCCACGTTTGGGGGGGCCAGGCGAGCGCCGTTCAAGGTCGAGCTGGGCCGAGCAGAGTGGAGCAGGGGAGCGCTGCCAAGGCCCCGACAGGTGCGGGGGCCATCGCCACGCAGGGGAGTCGTGTACGCACGGCGCAAGGGGCTGAGGATCCGGCCCACGGCCGGGGCTCGGAGGGGCTCTGTCGTGGCAGCGCAAGGAAGGGAACGCTGCGCAAAGCCAGGTGCGTGCCGAGGGGACAGTTCCTTCTAAGTAACCCTTTTTCTGTCGTCCAAAGCACCTGCCTGGTTCGCTTTAGGATGGAGAGCGTTTTGCGTCGGCAGCTGCATTTTACGTCTCCAAAAAGGGCCATTTTTGATTGTCTGCAATTTCCTTGCCCGTGTTGTCCAAGGATGGGCTGGGCAACTTTTCACCTTCCAGATATTTCGGCCTACAGCTCCCAGTGCAGCCCACAGTGAGGGTTGCAGGCTATAAGGGCCAGGGGCCCACAGGCTGGCCATCCCTGTCCTGGACCACTGAAACCTGAGCCGGTCCCCTCACCCAGCAAGGCCCAGCAGGAACACCTGCAGAACTTTCTCTTCCACATCATCCCTGAACAGGCAAACAAGGGTGCCCCCTCTGGCCCCACCCTTTCCTCCACCCACAAATTAATCACCAGTTTCCTGCTTTTGTGCAGCTTTCCCCCATTCCTAAAGGTGGAAGAGCTTCTCCTAAGATCTGGAGGCTGGCAATAAAAGCTTTAAGCACCAACGTGCAGGTATATTCAGACTCACCTTTGCCTTTGGCCCCGCCCCCTTGCTTCCAGCTCCTCCTAGTGCTGGAATGAGGCGCCTGGACGCTTCTCCAGAGCTGAATCCGGCCCTCAGGCATTTTAGGATATGCATTCTGGGATCGCATCCGTGGCTCCTGAAAAAAAATAATTAAAAAATAGAACAACAATACAGGCAAGCAGTGTGAAGGGGCGGAGTGGTGGTCTGTGAGGAAGGCTTTCTGCACATGCTCAGAGTTTACCTTGCTGCCGCCAGAGGGACTGTAGGGAGACCCATTGCTCCGTCCTCTTTTCCTGTGCACAAAACTTTCCGGTAAGATGGGGAGGTGTTACTTTACCCCCCCCCCAAAGTTTAACACCTCCCCATCTTCCTGTGGTTTTCTCCCCAGCAGATGTGTCTTTCTTCCTCTCTTCCCCACTGCACCGCATCTCCACTACTGCGCTGCAAAGATTACTTTCACTCCTCGCTGGGACCCGGCCGGTCGGGCTCGCTATGGGGCTGACCACGCGGTCTGCGTGCTTCGCGCTGTGTGGAGTGTGGCTCTTGATCTCCTCTGCTGACTCCATCCTGGCCCCAAACCTGACCCTGGTGAGAAACTCCCAAAGGGATGGGGACGATGGGTCTGTGGGCGGCGGGCTGATGAGAGTAAAGCAGCTTGGCACGTCGTGTGTATCTGGATGTCTGTGTGCATGGGGGGGGGATGGGCCCCCCGTGCACTGAATAGCTGCCCCACAGACAGAAATCCAACAGGTGAAGCTGTCTTCATCGCGCAAGAGCTGCAGACGGAAAGAAGCTTTGCTCAGCTCTGCTGCCTGTTGAAGCCCCAAAAGGCGCTGAACCACAAACAGGCGACAGCCTGGGGAGAAAAGTTCCAGATTTGGATATGTGAGGGCAAAATGGGGGTTGATTGAAGGGCAGCGGGGGAGGTTTGTGTCTGTAGTATCTGCCCTTTGGGAGAAATTAATTAATTCTCTCTTTATCGTGTGCGTTCATCACAGTCTGAAATGGCCGAGATGTTTCAGCAGTTTATGAAACGGTTCGACAAAAAGTACCAGGACCAAAAAGGTAACGGAAGCGATCTCTGTGTGGTTTGGGCAAAGGATTTGGTCTGAAAAAGAGCCCCCACAATTCCCATCAGCCCTGCTTTAACACAGGTCTCAGCAAACCTCAGTGCGCTGGGACTTTACTTCGTGCCATTTGGAAAGTTTGTCGAGAGCACTCTCACAAAATGGCTACCACGGGCGTGGCGCTTGGCCATCCACAAAATGACAGCCCTGGTGAGCAGGACGGATCGCTCAGTATTTATTTCCCAGAAGACAGACTGTTGAGACTCAAAGAACGGCATATACCCAGGAACCTAATTACAGGGCTGAGAGATATGGGTGAGGCTCCAAAGTGTAAATCCACTCTTTGGAACTCAGGGAAAGATAGTGCTATATGGTGGCATTTTGCTGTTCAGCAAGCCAGCCTCCTGTTTTTTTTTTTCTTTTATGAAACTCACCATGTTAGAAACATAGGGGAAAAGTGAGTCAGAAGGGGCTCCTGGGCCATCTAGTCTGACCCCCAGCTCCAGCCGGCTGCTCATGTAATTCCCAACATGCACATGGTAGGC